TTTATGCCTGTCTTGGAAACATGTAACGCAAAGGTTTGGGTGCCTGTTGGAAGGGCGGACCGAAATAGGCCTGCTGCCGCACTCAGTGAATGTTTTTCACCGTTAGTGCGTGGTAGGTCGATAAAAGCCTGCCATTATGTTTTGATGGGAAACACTTACAATTTTATATTTGTCTATTTGCCTCTGACGATTTTATACAAACATCTGAGATAAACGTTTCGCACTAGCGACAAGGACATAGTTTTCTTCGTCCGCCCAAGCTGAAATACCGCGGCAGGCCGATATCGGCCTATTACGTAGTGAACGTGTTAATCGATATCCAAAGAAACAGTTCCCTAGGAACTACGCGGGCGTCAAACATGGTAAGAAAGAGAGATTGAAGAAGTAGAAGTATTTTTCGATTATAAAGTCGGTTAAAATCCGCTAAATCGTGCGTTTTGATGTGCTCCTAGTAACTTTAGGTTCATTGATATTTTTTGTAACGAATAAAATGTATGAAAACAAATGAAAATGTGCTTTAATTTGTTAAAAAGTTGTGTTAGAACATGAGAAGCGTGCGTGGAATTATAAGATAATTATCCAATTAAGTTCTTAAAATTGAATTTTCCTTTTATAATGTTATATTTAGAAAACATAATTGTATGAATCAACATAATTGTATGAACACAATCCTATAAAAATGTTGTAAAAAACTAAATTTTTTTTTTATATACTTATAAGAAAAAAATTGATAAAACACAAACCCCGCCCATTTCAAACAGAAGTTTTTGAAGTAAAAGTAGGCTTTATAAAAAAATAATTAACAGCACGAAAAATCCTGTCGTAACCAATTGCGACCTGATTGTAGAAGAGAGAAGATTAATTTCACTATTCAAGAATCACGGTAATAGAACTTGTATTTTTAGAAGTTTAATTACATTTTTAATGAATTGCATTAAAAATCGGCTACAAAGTAAGCTTCATATAAATTATATATTAGCACGTGCAATTTGGATTGTAGAAGGGGGAAGATTAATTTCACTATTTAAGAATCAGGGTAATAAAAATCGTATTTTTATAGTTTAATTTATGTTTTTATGAATTGCATTAAAAATCGAATGTACTAAATAGGCCAATGTATTGCATTTTCTAACATTTTTTTTTATATTTCCCCGAAAAATGTCACTTCCAATAAGTCAACCCTATAACAGACGGCTGCGATTATTGAAAAACAAAACTGTTTAATAACTTAATTCTCTCGTTACCCATTCTATTTATAATATTTCACGGTGGATGCATTGTTACTAAAGTCACAATATTGTGACCTTTGTCGTACAGTTAATTGGCTTGGGTTGAACGCTCCATGACCCTGCACTCAGATCTCTTACCCCCGGTTTCAATAATATACCGACAACCATCGGTAGCAGCTACCGACCGTTTTTTGAGCTACCGACAACCATTCGTTTTTGCGTTTCACAATCATCGGTAGGCGCCTACCAACTACGAACGGTTGTCGGTAGCTCATTTTTTTAAATTGTAATCATATAATTCGAGGAAAAGGGTTCTTTCCATACAGCCTTGTCTTAGGTAATATTATGATTATACTGAAATGTTGGTCTTTAACATTTAATAATTTCTTGGACAAAATCGAAATCGTAAGAAGGAAGACAGAGACATCAATAGGAAAGAGGTGAACTGATTACGTACCGAAACTAAATTTGAAATTTGTTTTGGAATTATTATGACTTATTTATTATATGGTTAGGTTCTTAAAAGTGGTGTTATTGTGAAACAAATTATCGTCTGAAATGGAATTCTGATGTAAACAAAAGAGTTACCATTACAACAAATAGCTTAAATTTATCTCTTTAAAAGTTTTTAGTAATTTTTTTACTTGAACTAAAAATCCTTTTTTTTAGATAAAAATAGGATAGAAATATTTTATGCTGCAGGCAAGAAACAGCGATTCGGAACATTTGGCTCATTGAATTAAACTTTTTTTTATTTAGTATGATTTATCGTAAAAATATTTATAAATAACACGTTTTCCCTTGTTAATTAAAAGAAAAGTAACAGTTTTTCATTAAAAAAATAATATTGTAGAAGAGCTTAATGTGTTTTGTAGTTCAGATTAGAAGAATTTAAGTTGTAATCATGTCAATGTTTGTACCTTAAAGGGCTCTTACTACCAATTAATTATTGGTCCAGATGCTTTCTACAATAAAATAATGATTTACCTTTTGAAAAACATAATGATTTACCTCTCTCTATATAATTATGAAAAACATGGTTCTGATGAAACTGAATTTGCCACCTACTGTACAAGTATTTTATTCGATATTGATTTACAATTTAAAGTATTTAAAATTGAAAAAGTAATGAAATTCTTATAGGCTAATGTCAACAAATCTTACATTTTTATCCCCTCATTATTATACAAAATTATTTACACTTGAATGAGAAACCTTCTCTTTCATTGAAGTCGATTAAAAATAAGACTATACATCTTATTTCCATATTATTATTTGCAAAAATAAAATTATAATTAGAACCTTTTGGAAAATGTTTGCAACCCCAAAAATAACATTATCTGTTTATATAAGTTTTTTTTTATCTCGAATTAAATTTCGGTATATAAATAAACGTGTGCAATACACAGTTCATTGAAATGGTACTGTGCATGGTTATGAGCAGTGTTTTGTCAATTTAGTAGGTACAAGAACGCGAACGTGTTACTTTAACATACCTCACCATTTTCTAATATATTTCAATTTTTGCTCCAAAAAAAGCATTTAAAACGTCCAAGTAAACCTCAATGTGAATATTGTCACTCTAGACTAGGTTGTATGTGCTATATCCCTTTGCCTTTAATTATGCCAAAAAGTAAAGTTGATTTATGTTCCGTAGAAGCTTAGCGGGAATTTTATATAGAGTTCACCTTTATTATAAATTGTTAATTGTAAAAAGTGATTTGTACTATACATATTGAAGTTGCAAGATAACATTAATGAATTTGACAGTGAACAATTGTGATCCATTGACATAAGATGATAAATGAATGGTTATTAGAAAAAGTGGAATGATTGTGTCAAATCGTCAAACAGACGTAGAAAAATGCAATGGAATAATGAAAATTGTGTAGTTTTTTATGAATTGTTTTTTATTTGTAAAATAAATAAGTTATATCCAAATTGGGTTTTATTAAGAATTTAATCAATATCAGTGTTTAATAAAAAATAAAGGGTATAAACTAATGTAACGTGTATAAGTTTGGTACAAGTAGGTGGTAAATTCAGTTTTATCAGAACAAGGTTTTTCATAATTATATAGAGGTAAATCATCAAGTTTTTCAACAGAAACATTGTAGAAAGCATCTGGAGCAATGATTAATTGGTAGTATGAGCCCTTAAAGGTACAAACATTGGCATGATTACAACTTAAATTCTTCTAATTGGAACCACAAAACACATCAAACTCTTCTACAATATTATTTTTTTAATGAAAAACTGTTATTTTTCTATTAGTTAACAAGGAAAAACATGTCATTTATAAATATTTTTACGATAACCGACGGAAAATGGCCGGTAGGCAAATTTGACAGATAAGCTACGGATAGTAAGTTTGACAGCTCTACCGAAAGATATTGAAACACCTGTTTGCGCCATTTTCATACATTTTACCTACGAACGGTTGTCAGTATCAGATCAATCCGTTAGTAGCACACCGTCGGTAGCTTTACCTACCAATGGTATGTTATTGAAACACTTTTATGCTACCATCGGTAGGAAATGCTACGGATGGTAGCAAAAACGGATAGTTTTTTGGTTATTGAAACCGGGGGTTAGACGATACAGAATAATAGACACATTTCATAGTTAAGTATTAAAATTAAATGATGTATTTACTTACGCAATGCCTAAAAATGTAGTAAATTAGATTTATTTGACTCCACTTTTTCCACCTTTATGAATAAATTATAAAGATATTAATAAAAATTAATCATACCTTCGGAATAATATAAAATATATGTAGACAGAATAAAGGAAATTGCGTTGGTACTTAAATGCTTCCGTAAAAGATATAGTAATGGCATTTTAATTTATCTAAAGTAGCTGAATAAAATCTCAGTAATTTTAAAGATATACTAAATTACAGATTTATTACAGATTTCCGATTAGCGAAGAATTATGTGTCTAGATCATAAATTATTATGTCATTGACGCATAAGCGCAGACGCTTAGATTTTCCCGTCTTATACTAGCGAAGAAAAATTGTTTCTATTCTAAAAAATTTTAACATGTAAATTTTTCAACCCAATTTTTTGTTCTGTCCAGTTTTTCGATACTGCGTTGATACACAGCGAGTCATGCTTGCTTGTTCATTCCTTCCATTCAATCATACTACGACCAATCGATTACTTCATTCATGTATGGTCCACGATTCGATGGTCACCCTATAAGCATCAATCAACAAATAAAGCGGCGTATTCACAACAAGCACAGATCGTGTGCGTATGAGTCGATGGCGAGTGACGAAGACGGCCCCATTCCGAATACTTGAACTTTCGTGAGTTCGTGAGGCACGTGACTGGCTCCCATGTGCTGTCTGTTTGTTTATATTTCCAATAATAAAGATTTAACTGCTTATCTTGTTTCATTAGTTTTGAATATTTCTATTTCATTTTACAGTCTAAATACCAACGCCTATTGTTAACGCGATATTTTATTTCAACCGGAGTATCGAATTATTAGTTGTTAGTTTATAGTGTAGGCTTAACAATTTAGTTCAAGTTTACAGCGGACTTAATTGCCACAATTAATTTGAAAATTCTGATGATTGACACAATGCCGTGATTGTCATCCTCGGTACTCTGCAACCGTGCCGGTATCATGATCACGAGTGACCCTCATAAATACTCCGCTGAAATCGTAATTGTAGGACATAATATTTTTTATCGCGCCAACCACGTTGTGCTTTTAAACATGGCCGTCGGCCGGCGCCATTCAGTATAACCGCAACCGGTGGCAGAGGCGCTCCCGCCACTAATATTAAGAACATCAAACAAAACTTGAAAATAAAAATACAGTGAACGCTATCGGATTTTTTTTAATAACACAAAAGTTTTAGTGGCCAAATTAATAAATAAACTTTATATATATTTTAAGTGATATTTAATTCGGACACGCATAGATGTTGATTAGCCGGCATCGCGTTTGAAATTCGAATCACTTGTCAGGGTCCGATTTGCGTTTATCGTGAACGTGTTAAATTGTGCAAGGAGTTTTTAAAAAGGAGTTAATTTCGGGTAAGTGACAAGAGATGTAACTAGATTAGTCACGGATTTATTTTTACACTGTAGACACGCGGGAACGCAACTGCAACTATTTTTGGTGTACGCTGAGTTAGCACTATGCTCTTAGATACATTCTCATGTTACAGTATAATAATGCCGCGAGAAAGTTGTGAAAATATCAGCGTTGCACTTTATGGACACATCCGAAACGAGTTTTAAAAACGAGGAAAGTCTCACGCTTATAATAAATTTGATAAAGTTGCGTTTAAACGTCATTCAGATTACATTTAACCTTGGTCAGTAAAACCTTTTTAAAAAGGATCATATTAAAACCAGTAAAGAATGTGTTGGTCCTAATTGTTAATGGGTTCATTGGCATGTTTTACATTTTAAACTGTGCATAAATTATTTTCGAAGCGCTGATATAAAGAGAGTTAACTTATACAATAATTATATTGACTTAAATCTTAGTGCCTAATAAAAAGGAACAGTGTCAATCTGTTACAGGAATTGATTTCTAAACTAGACTAAAATAAGAAAAATGTATTAATATAATTTGGTTTGTCTTTAATTATCTAACGACTCCTATATTCTATCATGATACAATTGCCTCTCTTATCTTAGTTATTTACAAAATAGAAAACGTTTATTTTGACAGGATAAAAACAAAATCTAGTTTAGTTTGCGCAATAGAATTGTTGCCATCATCTATTTTTTAGTATGATAAAATAAAATATATTTAAAGTTTTATAATTTGTCGATAGAAATATAACAATTTCGATAGAAAAAAGCGTTTTCTATTTTAATAATAAAATTTACATACTTTAAACCAATAATAAACATGTGCAAGGTTGGAATCCCAGTCTCAACTTTAATAAATCTTTGAAACATATTTCAAAACTGAATCATTCGTGGATTATTCAAATTTTAATGGAATTTACAAAAAAGTGTAAATTCCATTATGTTGCAAACTCTTTTTATTTTCTCAATTCGAACGGTTAAATTAAATATCATTAAATTATTAGCTGTTATCAAATCGTTTTGTTAATATGAACCTCATATTTAGAAAATATCACTTTTTGAAAATCGAATTATGAATTTCTTATTAACGTTTCTGTGGCGCTTCTGTCCTCAACTATTTACACATAAATTTCCAATTATTAGCTGTAGACTCTTCGACTACAAGAATACTGTAAGAGGTTAAGCCCAATCAAGACTGTGAACTATCTTTCTGTCTCGTTTTTTATAGGTAAAGAACGAATTTCTGTATTTTATTCAACATTTTAGGCAAAGTAGTGTCAGAGATGGAATGGTTCAGAATAAGGAATGATCAATTACTCTTACTTCGGGTTAATATTTGATAATGTTTATAATAGTCTCAGCTAAGTGACGATTGTCGTAATGAGAAAGAAATATGATTATTTACGTCTTTTTTATAACTTTAAAACTATTTATCTTGAAATTTTTAAATGAATTTATTTGAGACGCTCACAATATACCCTTTTATTTGATATATCACACAATATACTTTGAGCAAAATTTTTAATTTTATAATTTACTCCCAAAAGAGGCTACCATGTTTAAAATTCATTTAGTTACGTTATATGACAACCTTTCAGTCAGCGACTTACATATGTGTACCAAATTACAACTCAACGATTCAGTAGTTTCGGAAAAAAGTCTATTGTGATAGATGAACAAACAGACATACAAGCGAGTGATCCTAAACTTTCTGTTTTTTTCTTTTGAGATGCGGCACACTAAAAATATATTTTTGTAATGATTAAAGTTTTTGACTTTAAAAGAAACAAAAAAATTATGAAGAGCACTTTTGATATTATTTAATCTACGAAATACGATATTATAAATATATACTTGCAAACACTATTATTTTAATAAAGTTCGCAATAACTAATTTATGTGAATATGACCTTAGGATGTTCACTATTATAGCACCCGTATATACTTGAGCTGTTATACTAGATACTCGTAATACTTAATGGGTTATCAGAAATAGACCACAACCGTCATTAGAAAATCATTAATTTTTAACGTTGTTTTTCAGTGACTTGAAAAAGGAGGTTATCATTTCCACTCTTTTTTTTTGTATATATTTATTTTTCAGTGACTTCAAAAAGAAGGAGGTTATCATTCCGACTCTTTTTTTTGTATATATTTTCGGTTGTATATTTGATACTAGTGGACCGATTTTAATGTTCGTTTTTGTTTGATTCAACCATATTTAATTTCGAAAAGAGACTTTTATGATGGTTAACTGATCACGATTTTAAGTCCCCCGATTTCAAATGGAATTTCTACAATTATTTAACAGTCATTTTTTTTATTATTGATCGATTTTATAGTATATTCTTCGATTTTGAGTTTGAATTCGATTTTATAGTAAGTATATATTATAACTTTGTAACTCCTGTAATGTAACTCCTTATTCTTTTTAAGTTTTAAATTCATAAATGTTTCGTATTTATTTTACATATTATCATTAATGTTATTTCATCACTTATCACATCACTTTACTGAATTATTTTGACTTTGAATTGGTTTATTTTGGAGGTACTAAATGTTAGATTACGTAAGTTTGATATTCTTATTATCAATATCACTGAGAATTAATATGAATAACATACCTTTTTTGTTATCTGTCTGTTCAGTGTGTTTGTAAAAATGCTTATTATTAATAATTTTCAGGGTTTGTTTTCTTCATATATTTTCTTATAACGCTTTTCCAAATTATTATTACTTTATTAAAATACAAAGCAATATTTACCTTAAAATAGCCGTAAAGAGTTATTCTGAATAAAAAAATTATGATTGTTTGAAAATGTGTAATTTATACAATACGATGTCTTTTTAGTCGCAAACTCATGTTTGTAGATTCCAATTCAAATAACGGGCTTGTAAAAAATCGTATGTTCAAAAGGGACCGCAGTGTTCACAGTAAAAGGGTCGTTCTGAGAAACACCTCAATGAGATATTTGGGTTGTATTTTTTTTTTTCTAACATAGACTATAAATTTATCAATGATCTGGCGCCAAATTTATTATATCTGAAATATAATGTATATTTTGACCTTATTAATGTTATAAAGGCGTTGTTTTTTATAGTTGTATTAGTTTAAATATCTTCCACATTTAGCCAATAAGAAAGTAGTCTATAAAACTATACAGCTAGTCTGATTAGCTAGCTAATTATTAAAGGTCCACAGCACACAAGGCTATTCATAAAATCGAAAACAAGAGTATCATAAACACAATCCGAACCAGGGTACAATTAATGGAAATAAGACTATATTATCACAGTCAGACATCGAAAACAAACCATCGCACAGATAGTCACACCATCAAATCAAGACCATGAAGGTCGTAACTTATACAATCATTCAAGCTAGGGTCAACACTTTTTTTTAAATCTAGTGATAACATCGGACATTCTTGGTGATATCATTGTTAACAAACAGCGGTTGTCAAATATTAATTTATGTCTTCACACTGAATTTACAGTACAAAAATACTTATATTACGAGTCAAGCAGCAAATTACAAACATACTAGTACCAATGTTGAGATCTTAGCATTTGAAATATTAAGTTTATTTTTAAAACGCCTTACTTTATTGACATTTAAAATAATTCACTGCACAATTTATTTGAACGTGTGCTGATTTAATTATGTATAAATATATTTTATTTCTATGTCTAACGAGATGCTTACAGCTTAATTAGTATCTATCTAAAAAATTTCCAAAAAATGTTAACTATTAAACTAAGGGCCGCCCGAGGCAAGACACTCATAACATTATTTTTTTCAAAATATAGAACCGACTTCGAACTTCGAACAAATAATACTTAACTCATAAGCGACTTATTCAAGAAACTGCTATTGAAGTTGGCCGGAGGTTTTATGTAGGTTATTAATTAAATGATAAACGAAGTTTTACGAATAAACTGTAGAGCAAAAAAATAATTTTCAAAATCGCTCAACATTTCACGGAAAAATCTATAAAAAACAAACATACATCGCCGTCGAACATATAACTTCCTCCTTTTTGATTTTGAAATCAGTTAAAAATATAAGACTAGTGTAGATATGTGCACAGTACACCCATTAAAAAGTGTAATTTTATCAATGACAAAAAAACTTTAGGGTACTGCTAGTCTGAGAAGTTTTTACTTTTCAATACAACGAACCTTAGCAGCGGACAATCTGTTTTAAGTTACTTTATGGTTTAGCAGAACATATTATGCCATGTCGTCCCCCAAATACGAACACCCTAGGCAGTTGCCTAGTTTGCTTATATGAACAGGATAACCTTGCGACTATTAGTGATTCTAATTATTACTTTTACGAGTTCTATCTGAAAATATTTTTTCGACTAGTGTTATTTATTATGATACTAACTTCATGTGTACAGCAGCAAAGGTCTAAGTGCATCTGATAAATAGCCCAACGATGACGTATATTGTGATACTTCATGTGTTTTATCGCTCACAACATTATTACTTAGCTTCATAATATCACACACTTGGGCTCCGTATTGGAAATCGAAATTACTCTGATATACACTATCTAATCCTCTTAATGTGTGTGAAATCGGAAATTGTAATGATTTTAGGAAATATTTCATATCAGTGCACTTATGAATTTAGAATATTTGCCACGGTATCACTTGCATGGATGATGTGATTGGTGAAAGTAATACTACCCACTTTATCAGGGTCGGCCTGTCTATATAGGCAAACTAGGCAATTGCTTTGGGCGCTCATATTGGGGGGGGGGGGGGGAGTGGCAAGGCATAGCAAACTAATTGTTTGCTAGTTCAATCAAATTTATTTTTTTTCAAAAACTAATATAATTTCTATTTAATTGAACCTTTCATAACGTTACGTTTGACGTCGAATTCAGGACTATATTTTTAGAAGTATAGCATAGCAAAGCGCAGTCACCCTGCATTTGCTATTAATTTGTTTATACTATTGGATACGTCGTTAAGATTTAA